ATTTAGACAGTTTCAATCCTTAGCATTGATAACAACAACGTCGCCATGCGTATCAAAATTTAAAGAAAAATGCCATCGTTCCAAATCGTAATCGGATCTAAACTGCTTCCAAGTCTCAGTTTTATGTACAGTTAAGGATATCTGCCGTAAAAACAAACATAAGAAAAATCGTTTTAATCCGGGCAATTCAGACAACATACTTTTCCAATTTTCAGCGATCAAATAGTTTGTGTCATCTGAGTAACCGTGCACCGACCATTGCTTCAAATTGGACATGGATCGAATCATCCGAAAGAGAATATTGAACATGAGGTTATCAAATCTCAATTTAAAACACGTTAAATTTGACAATAACAGAGGTAGACTTAGATCTCGAGCATTAGTTGAATTGATATATACATTCAGATATTTTAGGTTGATAGTTTGCAAAAGAAGTTCAAGTAAACTGTGTAGCTGACACCATGAAATCGATAATTTTTCAACGTTAGAGCAGATGGTTTTATTCATCACTCCCAGGGAGAAAGTGGTATCACCAGGAGTAGTAAGAAGTATAGTTTTTAGATTCGACATTTCGACGAATAATATTGACCAAGCAGTGCTAACATCTGTTAAATTATAATCCGCATTCGTCAACTGAACTTCAATGAATGTCAATTGTTTTAACTGTTTTAGTTTGGGCGTGATGTAGTTGAATGTGGAACGGTTGATTTTAAATAGTAACAACGTACTGAGCTTAGTGCACTCAGCTAAATTGTGGAGCTTAAAAAATTGAATTATTGCGTTATTTCCACTCAGTTTTACAGTGAAGAGTTGCTGTGCATAGTTACTGCCGATGTCTGACAAATAATAATAATCGAATTTGGCTGTTCTTGTTAAGTCACAGTCGAGACAAAGGTGATCGTCGTTAAGAATAGAGTTCAAGCGTGAATTAAGGTTGGCGAATGAATGTACCAGATCGCATATATCAAAGTATTCAAATAAGTCTAGCAGTAGTTCGTTTGACAGGCATTCGAACCTGCTTGACATCCTGGAAGCGATGATCTGAAATCATTGTTAGAAAATGCGATCACAGATTCATAAAATAATGATATTTTGATTCTCAAAAAGGGATTTGGTCGTTCAACAGGAGAAAAAAATGGGAAGTTTCTGAAAAACTGTCCTTATCACTTCGCACGTGTTTAGCTACGTCAACAATTCTTTTTTATTATTTTTTCTCATTTCTGAATTACAACAGTTACTTTTTACTACACATGTAAAAGGTAAAAAGAAATATTACTGAGATACTTTGTCAATAAAATGACTGAGGCATTTTTTCTCTTATTCAGATAAGAAATCACAAAAGTATTGTAAGGTTTTTTTCTTGAAAACGCAATGAGTACCAGGTACCTCAGTCACATATGTCGCGTGATCAATGACGAGTTACCATAAAAACTTTTTCTTCAAAAACTGACGTCATATTCATGTTCAGTTGATTCATTTGTTTGGTGTTTAGAAGTGACTATTTCATTATGAAAATCTTATACTAACACAGCCATTCGCCGAAAAGCATAGCTATTTTCGTCTGATCCCGCTGCCTCACCACTAGGGCTGGATATGTTAGGGGTGCCCACGTCCATATTTGTTCGCGATTTTTGCAGAATATGTGTGAAAATCTGATTTCTCAGAAATTTCTATCTCAAGTCCTCGAAGTGTAGCATGACGTTTCTTCATCGAAATATATAGAAATCGACGCGCTCTTTCAGTTGATACCAACTTCGAGGTTCTACATTAGAGAATGTAGTCAGTGGACGTTCTACAAATGAGGCCGAATCCGCGGGAGAATGACGAAAATACATTTTTTCGCTGCGAGGGTAAAATGGCTATGACTTTTTTTCTAACGCGGTCAGAGACCTGCAGTTTTCACCATTCGGGTCAGCCTGCTGAGCTCTATAATATGAGGTAGGGTATACCTTTTTCAGCGTAGCCGGCGATAATATTTATATTTTTTCCAATGAAGGAACTTAGGTTATGATCTACAGTATGTATCAATAGAAAGCTCTTTCAGAACTCTACAAAATAGCTGTTAATGCAGTGCAAACACTCACTTTTTCGGATATTACTACTGGAGAGTGGTGTTTGCAGCATCGACAGATAGGACCAGTCCATGTAAATGTAATACTGGTATTGCTATGTGTTACACATTATATATTAGAGAAAGAACAGCAAATCATGCTAGGACAAGGGAGAGTAAGTTCTAAGGACTCGTTTATCATGTTAGAATGTTATCAACGGGTCTCTATCAATTTCGACCTGAGCTTGTCTACTACAGAACAACAAAAGCAGGTCAAGTACAACCACATCATGGACGGAAACGTTCTGTCGTTTTTATGAAGTCTAATACACTATTATATAATATGAAGAAAAAATTGGATCCCTAAAGAGAATATGGTTTAACTGGATGGTGTTGACCTTTAACACCGTCCTGAAGATATTTAACATTGGAGATCTTTCCATAGTGAAAAGAGGACAGGTAAGAAAGAAGTGAGAAACGGTTTCGTGGAGAAACCCACATGTACACATACATTCTTCAGCTAGATGGTGCTTAACGAGGTCAAAGTTTAATTGACTGAAATTAACTCTGCAACGGAAAAAGTCAATGTCAGCCATGCGGTTCTCGGTCACAGATAGTCCAAACTTTAGTTCATGCGGTAATTTTAGTTTGTTTTTAAAATTATGAATTCGTGTCTGTGATCGAAGGTCATAGGGAAGTTCGTTCCAAAGCCTGGTGGTTCTGTGAATAAATGACTCTTGTAAGACTTTGATACCACCGAGATGCACTGGTAATTTACCATTGTTTTGACTACGTAAACGATAGGTACAGATATTCGCTAGTGTCAATAGGCCATTCAAATCATATATTTTGTTCACAATTTTAAAGAAAAAACAAAGGCGATGAATGTCAAATAAATCAAACTGAGTTATTTTACCACTGACTATTGTACTCAAGAGCGGAATCCATCTTAGTTCACTAATTACCTTTTGGTACGAACTATCTGATATAGCTCCTGTGACAGCAAGGGACGCGTGGTATTGCAGAGTAACTGGACGCTTCAAATTTTTTTCGTTTGTTGAAGAATATATAACGCTAGTATAGTTAATACAACTCAAAATATATGCATTGTAAGCTAATAAGCTAAGTTAATATGTAGAGTCCAATCAAGATTTTTAGTAAGATATAAACCAAGATGGATGTGTTGGTTTACAAAATCTTAGGAAATATTATTGATCTGTAAAGGTGGCAAGACAGCGAGCATTGTTGATAGATGAAAAGTCATTTCAAAACATTTAAGGATGTTTACTGTAATTGTAGTTAGCGAAGTTGATGCAATACGAAATAGTTTTACAGTGAGTACTCCTTCCTGCAACATAAAAAAGCTGAACATTTGATTAAAATATAAAATTTGTTCTTTTTTGATTTTATTCTTTACGCAGAAAAACAAAAAATGTCTGCTCTTCTAATGATATCTATTAAAAACCGAATGCACTGGAGGTATATATATGCCAATGTATGCAAACAATGCCAAACAAGCTCTCTTCTTCTAACGTATTCTCTCGCATCCAATGTATTTTCCCCTGTTACAGAATACGTTTGAAATTATATGATTATAGAAACTAGAAATGTTTTTATTAGTCTTTCAAATAAGGTATGATAAAATATGTTTTGATCCACTTTTCGACCCGATGTTTGCAAGTTTTAATTACTTTCCAGAAAACAAGTAATAAGACTTAATAAATAGTTTTCAGATACTGAACGAATTTCCCTCTTCTAAACCATATTTGCTAGAACCGCATGCAATTCTCTACATACTCACATCAGTTTTAACTTTTAGTAGCATCTTTAGAGCTTTGAATAATGAATTTTTTATTCCATCTTTCCCATGCCAATTAGTGCTTTCTACCATCTACTAAAATTATGCCTTATAACGTGCTTCATTTATTACTAAAGAATTACTGAGAAATTTTGTAACGTAGGGACGTTGATAGACTTGCGCATGGCTACAGTCTTACTTATTTGGTTCAATAAAGCCATTTCTTCAACCCCTAGGAAAAAATAAATTCAAAAAGTACGTTACAGGAGCTGTTTGGGTGTCATTTCGTCTCGAACGTTTTTCTATCTCAAAGTTAGTTGCAAAAATACTTTTTTCTGTGAGTTTTGCTCTTTCCAACGAAAAAATAATTAACTCTTAGATAAGATAAGATTTATTTTTACTAAAGAGCAGGATATCACAAAAAAAAAGAAACAAAATCTTGTGGCATCCGTGGATACCCTGTGATAGCCTAAAACTAAAAATTTAGTTCTGCTCTTTCTTTGTTATGCCTTTGTTATGTTATGAGGACATAAATAGATCAGATGTTTCGAGATGTAACTATTCTCTGTTCTGTCTGACATCATGTTCTTTCCTATTCTTATATTCACTTTCCCATGTTATGTCCTGTACTATTTTTCATCTTTTTCTCCTACGTTCGATTGTATGTAAATTTCTATCTATAAATAGCTGCGGGTTTTAAGTGTATTTTCGTGTGATAATTCAGATTATCAGTTCATGACAAATAAAGTGATAGATACTATTAGAGGTTATATTTGGATACATAATTCTCCTGAGCACCTTAGGAAAATGCAGAAACAATGTTCGCCATTTAATGCACGACTGCTGCACCATCTGTTAGTTTCATTGTCCCTGTTTCTGGTATGCTTGGATACAAGGATTCAATGCTAAAATTAAGTGCTAAAGCGTCTTGTTCAAAAAATAAAGATTATTTAAGTTTTAAAAATGCGGCAAAACAATCTCAGACAAAGTTAAGACATCTTTTTCTTAAAAAGTACAAGCTAGAACCGAAAAATGTTACCATTGATACCTCAAAGCTTTCTATAAAAGCTTGGTGCTTCCCCATTAATACCAGCCTTATTCTGAAGAGACATGGTTTGCACGTAACTAGATATAAGACAATTAAAGATTTGCTTATATTTGTCGTTTTTTCTTATCATTATTCCATGCAGTTGCTGGTTTCAATAAGTGACTGTTATCTTCTTCATCCCAAATGGCTGGTTTTAATAAGTGACTGTTATCTTCTTCATCCCAAATGGCTGGTTTCAATAAGTGACTGTTATCTTCTTCATCCCAAATGGCTGGTTTTAATAAGTGACTGTTATCTTCTTCATCCCAAATGGCTGGTTTTAATAAGTGACTGTTATCTTCTTCATCCCAAATGGCTGGTTTTA